GGCCCAGCATCCTCAACATTGAAAATTGCCCCGACACGAAGTGGTTAATAGAGATAAAAGATCCATCAGGAAAACCACCATGGATAGCCGCCTGAGCCGAACGGTAGTTCCCGTTTGTTGAAACGAAGAGGCCACACTGGAAGAGATGCATAAAGAACTCCATTACGAGGGAAAGAGTTGCTTCGGTTGGATTTGCGACATGCTCTTTACACCAGGAGTTGAAATGTCAAATGTGTGTCACAGATCTTTTTCATTGACAGGCGTCTACCTCTGGTAGTGTCTTGAGAAAGCCATGCTTGCTGAAATGATGTTGGACAATGTCCAAGACCTTAGGTGAAGGTGAAGAGAATCCAGAGGGAGATGGTGAGACTTGGGCTGAAACAGCAGGTCTTGGTGCTGGGGCAGCAACAGGGGAATATCGACCAGAAGCCTCATGACGCTAGGAAACCAAGGCTGTCTTGGCCAGTATGGTGCAATGAGAAGAATTTTGCAAGGTTTTTTCTCTATCTTTGACAGCACCCCTGGGATCAGCGAGATAAGGGGAAAGGCGTAAGCCAGGAGGCCTTTACCAGAGATGCGCAGGACATCAGTCACCCACACTAGAGGGTGCGGAAATCAGGTGCAAAACGTGGGGAGATGAGCGTTCAGATGAGACGCAAAGAGGTCTACGTGCAGCCTGTCAGTTGCTTGGAAGAGGAGACGGACAACCTATGGCTGAAGAGTCCACTCTGTCGGTTTAGCCCTGCCCCGAGAGAGAGCATTGGCCAAGTAGTTCTGTATCCCAGGAATGTGTTCAGCAAGCACCAGGACAGAATGACGAATGGACCATTGAAGCAGATCCCAGGCAAGAAGGCAGAGGGTAGGCAAGTGAGTGCCTCCTCCTTCTCCGACTGGACCAGAACTGTCTTGCCTGTCAGGAGCGGCTGGTAATGACGAAGAGCGTTGAAGATCGCATGGAGCTCAAGAACATTAATGTTGGAGTCCCACAAGGTTGGTTCCCATCGGCCAAAAATCTGATACGTTGGAAGGCTGATGCCCCACTCATAGGTCGAAGCAACAGTTGTAAGGACCACGTCGTGACCCGGAGGGGCAAAAGGAGGGCCACTGGAGAGATTGGCTTTGGAAGACCACCATGTTAGTTGATGACTTAAAAAGGCCGGCACCGGAACGAGAAGGTCCAGAGAATCTGTGTGCGGTCTGAAGTGAGACAGGAGTTGGAGTCGAAAAGGTCTCTGTAGAGTTGGCACCAAGGGACAAGGTCAACAAAACTGGCCATGAGATCGAGAAGTTGGAACCAAGCACGAATGCTTGTTGACGAACTTGAAACACGGCAACACACTTTATCAGATTGTCCATGAGGGCATCCTTAGAAACCACCTAGGGCGGATGAATCGATTCAGTGGCTTTAGATTGAGAATCGGTCTCCATTTCCCAGAGTCCTTCCTTGGGGTGAGGAAAAATGTGGACATGAAACCCATTTGGGCATGCAGTGCTGGGACTGCAATGATAGCCTGCTTCTCAAGGAGGTTCACAATTTCTGACTCTAAGGCCCCGTGCTTGGACTGATTGATGGGAACCTGAGTGGGCCGAAACACCATGTTGGATGGAGGGGTGCTCGTGGACTCTAGGCGGTAACCATGTAGTCGAGGACCCATCCGTCTGATGTTATTTCCCACCCCCCGAACCCTGCAAAAGATAGAAGACGGCCGCCAAAGGGATCAGGATTGATGACTGAGGAAAGGGCAGAATAGTCACCAACACCAACCCCAAGAAGACTGCGGGGGTGGCGGGTGATACCATGCTAGGCTCTGGAGTAAACCGGAGCCAAAGTGCGTGACTGTTCCCAGGCGAGTTGCAAAGGCTGACAAGCATGTCTAGGAGTCCCTGTAGGATGACGCACCAAAGGAGCGGAGCATTGCGGAGGCCTTGGAGGAGCTGGACAAGAAACACAAGGACGAGAGTCAGAAGGCTGATGAAAGGAGATCTTCCGAGCATTGTCGATCCGCTTTACCTCACTTTCGAGAAGAGAAGTAAACAGGCCCGTAAAGATATCTTTAGCAAACAGGGGAAAACTCTGGAGGGTGGAATTAACTGACTTGTGGGGAATGTTCATAGCCAGAATAGCCGATTCCCTATGGAAGGCAATAGCACGAAGAGATACTCTGGCAAACTGCTCAAACTGCCCTGAAGCTCGGCCGGAGAATTGCCCCATCAGGCTTGAGGCAGAGAATAATTAAGCTCTGGATACGGATGCGTAGTGGCCAGAGGAGGCGGTGGATATTGGTGCACGAGTTCTGAAATGGACTCAGAAAGAGCACATAGCCTTTGGTCAGGGGAGCTAGAGCCTTTTGAGCTACGATGTTTCTTCTTGTAATGTGAAGAAGACAAACCCCTAGACAATTTGCATTTCTTCCCTAAGAAATTCCCTGATTCAGACCATTGGGAAGAGGGTTGGCCTGAAGGGGGATCTGGCTGTTTGTCTGCAGGAAGCGGGTCAGAAATAGCAGGAGGCCGAAAACCCCAATGGTGAAGCAGACCTAAAGGCTTCGGGGGCCCAGCAGTAGAAGGTGCTGGAGAGGCCACCGTGGAGTCCGACCCGGCTGCTGTAACCAATACCAAACCCTGGGCATATCAGGAGCAGGACAAGCCTGCTGATGTCATGATCACCATACCCAAACAAGAAGCTATTATCGAGGATTGGTGAAAGGGAAAATCCCAAGAAAGGCAAGCAGGCTAACCCTAATCAGCCGCAGCCAATGTACGCCCACTAAACGCGGTCCCTGTAGGAGTATAACAACCACTACACGAGCTACGTGACATGCAACATGGTGTGGATGGGGCCATCGCCAAACACCATGACTATCAGGAGGAGTCGTCTGGACTACAACGCAGCGAATAACTAGGGTACCACAGTGTACCATAACCTCCAAACTGAGCCAGTATAGCTGAACCGAACCAGCAGCACACTCCAGCTGTGGACAGGTTTCCACACTCCAGCTGTGGGCAGGTTTGGACACACTCCTGACTGTTGGGCTGAGGTGGAGACGGGCTAGTGGCCGTGAAAGACCTCAAAGGAAGCCTGTAAGCGAGCACTAGTGGCAGAGACAACCACAAATGTCATGACTGCCTACAAGACCCCACAATATGGCATTGCCGGACTGAATGGCAAACCAAAGTGAGTCACCCACACGGCCAGTAGAGGGGCGCAGAGTGAAGATGGCCCGCAGGGAGCATCAATAACACTAAAATTGCCCGAGCTGCATTACCAGACCAGATGGTAAGCTGAGCCGCACCAGCAGAAATGCTGCTACACGACTATGAACCACAGGTAGTGCTCCTCCAGGCAGACTCTGCCACACCCCAGAAGGCGAGTAGGGGTGCATGGACAGGCCAAAATACTCGAAGAAGGCCTGTGGGCATGACAGCTGAATGACCAGATGTATCATCACCCCGTGCCAGGGGACCAGCTGTCAAACTGCTGCGAGTCTTGAAAGTACTTGAAGAGCAAACTTGCGTGCTCAACAGGTCAGTACTGGAGCAAATGAGGGTATTGCAGGGTCGTACCCCAGACAACAGATAGGGAGGGAACAGTAAACCTATGCACTGTCCTATTCCCTAGGTTCGCAAGGATCGAAACCACCACACCACTGTCCTTACTAACCAAGCTATGCCAAGCCCACGAACAGGCGTACTACTCGAAGCAAGGTAAAAAGCAAACTCTCAATATCTCCCCCTAGAACTGGAATCTAACACACAGAAAGGGAGAAGCAATACTGAAAGAACAAAATAGGGAATGCCAAAATTTCCAGTGATTACAAAACAGAAATCAACAAGCAAGACAACTCACAGAATAATGAGACAACCGCTCTAAAAAATATTCTGATAATACACCCAACAAAAATATAAAAAAGACATGCCACAACTGGGCAAAACTAAACAGCAGGTATATACACGTACAGAAAAATGGAATAAGCAGAAAAAAAGAGACAAACGTACTCAATTTCATTCTGAAATCAACAAAAATATATATATAGAAGAAAACAAACAGCTCCATCAAGCGAGAACCTAGAAAAACAGAGATACAAAAACTAAGTCAGTCTGCCAACTTGTGCAAGACTGAGAAATGAATGACAAAATACATATCTACATGGGAAAAAGGAACAGTCTTACCATTCACAAGAATGAGAAAGACCAAAGAAACAAGGTGATCCAGAAATCATGACACCGAAACACAAAGCAGCGAAGGAAAAACTCTCGAAAATTTCGGAGCCGGACCAAAACATGTCCAATAGTAATGGCACTAAGAAAAAGAGGAAGAACATGGCGGCCGATTCCACGGGAGACAAGCGAGTGAGGGCGCACGACAATTTAGCGAATGGAAGTAACGGACTAGGAAATAATGCATATGTACTGGTAATCTGCCTGGGTTGCAGGCAGTAGATTTGTTTGTTTACAAAATAAACAATCTCAATTGAATTCTATAAATATTATATGCCAGTTTTGTGTCATTTAAGATCCCTTCTTTCATGCAGTAACATTGGTTATTAAGTCAAAGGAATGCTAAATACTGGGGAAATAAGCATTTAAAAAAGAGACCAACTTCAAATGTAATTTTATCGAAACCTAGGTTTTATTCTCCAGTGAGAAATTTGCCTCTTCGTGAGAATGGTGATGACATGTTGGAAACAAACTCTTCAAATCGGTTGCAGAGGGAAAAATAATGGATTCCCTCAAATGAATGTACAATGCTGTAGATGCTACTGAGATCTTGGATATTAAAGTGCTTTCAACTCAAATGAAAACTAAGCATTCAAGGAAAAAATTAACAGATGGAAAATTAAAAGATATCCTTCAACTGTAAAATGTAATTGTTAAAATGATCAGACAAATATCTCAACACCCACGCAGTAAACAAGTAATTTAACACAACCATCTGCTAATTTGGGCATATGTCTTTTTCATTCAACCAGTAAGCTCACTAGGAACAAGTTATAATTGGGACTTCACTTTATAAGACAGACAATGACCTGTCACACAAATTTCACTTGCCCAGCCTTTGCTGTCCTGTTTCCTTCTCCTTTTTGATCCGATTGGCCGATCTCAGGCAAGTGTAAATAATGTTTAACCATACACCAGATGGTTGTCGGAACAGAAAGATGTGTTTGATGCACAATCAGGATTTCGACTTGACCCAGAATACATAAACAGTGTCGGTTAGGAATCTGGGACCTAGATATAAAGGAAATGCAGTGAAAGGGGTTCCAATACTGTAGCACTCCTCACCTTGAGGTGCCATGCAATCCTCGCAGCCCGTGGCCACCTTCAGCTTGCCAATGTATCCCCTGACCACTGCCTTCCCCACGGTCTCTCCGTACAGGGCATTAGCTGATATGCCTCTGGTGGTTGGAGTCATTTCCTCGTAGTTGTAGATGACCTCATGTGGGACGACAACACTTCCAGCCCTATGGGAGTGTTGCACACATTTAGCATGTCAAAGATGTGGCAGTGAAAGCCTTTCAAAAGTTGATGACTCTTTTCTTGAAAGCCACAATTTTCAATAAGAGCACCTAACAACTGTTGATGATTTTCCATAAGTAACAAACATGTCTGATATGAATAGCATAGTCTCTTAAGGAAAACAGCAATAAATGGTAAGACATGACAAATGTACAAAATGAATGTAGCGTTTACATTGTCCCTGTAATAAAATAAAAAGAAATATTGCATTTACATACTGAGAGCATTTCAGTGACAATCTGGTTTAAAGTTTTTGGCAGCATGGCTGTAGACCTGAATTGTAGTCTAGTACAGAAAGAAACTTTCTGGAGAACTGTTCACCAATTCTAAGCCACGTACCTCAGGTCTTCCTGATTGATAACAACCTGAGAGAAGCCTGCCACGAACTTGTACTCGATTTCGACCTGTTCAATGGAAGTGGAAAAATAACACAAAGTCCTTGACTACAATTTCACCTTTTTAGCCCTATGGGTTACGCAGAGTAACAGTGAACTTATCTGTCACTATCATTTCAATAATAGGAATATCATCAAGAACGATTTCAATCAAAACAATGACATTCAGGAATTAATCAATACACCAAAATTGACACCCCCCCCCAAAAGACTCAACTGAGTTGCTTTGTACAATTACTGACTCTTTGTTAGAAATCAGAAGGCTTTACATAAGAACTCCCCTGAAAAATCAAGCACTGTTCATTTCTACTCACTGACAGTTTGAATTCAGTGACGAGGGCAATGCATGCGTCAGAGAACTTGCTTATTCTAGGATCGCACACTGTACCATTGTAGATTGGGGCAATGACCGCTATCTCAAAGGAAACTTTCTTCTTGACAACTGAGGTAAAGAAATTTGAAAAACTAGAAAATTAACTTAATGAATAATCACCACTACATCCTCCTACAGTTTCTCAATTTCTGCACATAAAATAAACAACTTTTTTTTAAAGACATCTGATATCCATTGTGGCTCAAACTGCCGATGAAATGAATGCTTTTTAAATTGGTCATTTAAAAAATTTTGAGATGTAAATGATGTTCTAACGTACCTGTCCAAATTGGAGAGACTGGGTATTCGTCATCAGGCACATTTGGTACACGTTCTGTCAAATTCAAATCGACAACAATTGCAAGTATCAGTTTCGCCTATTATGTTACACAGTTATACAGGCAGGAAATTTCAAAGACTACAGTTTTAAAAAAAAATGGCTTCAATAGAGCAGCTTTTACACAGTAACCTCAAAGTGGTTTTTCCACTTCCCTCAGAATGACTATGATGTGATTCACTATAACGCTGACGGCCCCAGATGTGGAACATTTAATAATGTAGCACACCTTTTTGAAATCTCTAGCCCTATACCATGGCTGAAAGCTAGTGTTGACAAAAAACCCACAAAATTTGAGAAATTTCAAGACTTTTAAGTGGTTGTGGAAGCGGAACTTTTCAGATTGCTTGAAGATTTACTTCTGTTTAGACTGGAACACTTCTTGATGAGCAAGAGTCAATGGTGACATATCCGGGGGGGGGGAGTTGTCGGTGGAGGGGGGGGACACGTTGCCCTTTCATTCTTACGTGAAAGTGCCAACACTGTAGAAATAATCCTACCACTTGCACTTTCTGGGGGAGGTCAGGTTCCTTTAATTTTTTAGGACAAAACTTTAGAATATTGTTTTCAGTCAAATTTCCATTTAGCCTCCTGGACTCAAAACCCAGAAATCCCACTGTGCCCCGCCAGATTTGGACCTCGAGGCTGAAGGGTCAGACCTATTCTTACCCGAGCAGTCCTTAGCTCGCCAGCCATTAGCACATTCACAAGAACACGTAGCCTCGCGTCGTGTTCCGCCGTTCAGACACACAAATCCCAGGGGGCACACTGCAACAAAAATATGTCATAGGCAGAACGGAACTCAACCTAAAATAAGCACACATTCACCGCCATGACGGGCATGTCTGACTACCTAGCAGTTAGAGGTTTGGCTGGATCTGATGAAATTTGGTAAATTTAAAAATAAAAGGTTTACGTCTTCTTACAGGTTAAAATTTAATTTCAGGAATAGAGCATTCAGGAATGGAGAGTGTGAACATAAAAGAATAGGACACAAGGTGAAAAAGATGACCGGAAAAAAATATGCATGTCGCTGGACGGCAGAATGTTATTGCCTCCACATCATTTGCTTCAAAATAATATACCAAATTCTAATGAATGAAGATGTATGGAATAATCTCATCCAAAAAGAAGGACTTGCTGTGGAATACAAAAACAAATGGAAGAGTAAGACGCTCACCGGCACACAATGGATCAGTGTGGAAATATGGACAATCGCAGACGCACATGAACTTGTTCTGATACGATCCTCCATTCTGGCATGGCTCACACTCTGTCGTGAAAATGATCGTTAGAATATGGCCAGTGATAAGAACATATCATATATACATAGATAATTGTAGCACAGCGTTTAAGGGGGTCGCTGTTCATGACACAGATGTTCATCTTTTTATTGTGAGCTTACATGCCTCAACATTGAAAGCTAAACAACCAATTTTAAGTTGTACGTTCTGTTCTCTACTTGTGCTCTTGGACAGTTTGAAATAACCTCAAATATATGCATTTCTCAGCTTTAATCATCGGCCATCAAAATTGGGGGATGAATTAAATTGGTAATTCTCTCACTAAAGAAGGGGGCTACATTAAACTCCCTCTACTGCTCTCCGGGATTTATCCCCTGTACATCTTGCTATGTAACGATGCTCTGGTACCTGTGCACGTCTTTCCAGTGAACGGTGACGGGCATGTGCAGTTGCAAGAGACCTCAGAGAATTCTCCGCCATTCTGGCACTCTGCCTGTCCTCCACATGCTATGTTTGAAAGCAAACACATGAACAAATGCCGATCGACAGTTTTCAACAAGGACTACGCAGACTGGGTCAAGCTCTTATAGCAAAAGAGATATTACATTAAGGTACACTCTTCTATAAGATACAAACACCAAACCAGATGGAGTATATTCTCATGTGTTATTAAAGTTCTCGGCTAGGATGTAAAACTGTGCTTTCTTGATATGGTTATCTTAGTGTTAAGTGTGTCTGCTCATTTTAAGGGCATTTTAACTTACAACTTTCTGCAAGACTTATCAAAAACGACAGGTGAAAACGTCTTGACATTCCACACTCTTTTCTGTTTGCTCCAATTCCCCCTGAATTGACATGTATAGTTGGTTGAGAGGATAAATGACATCACTCACACTGTACCCATAACTATAACTTTCAACTACTCCACCGCTGCCAAACGAAAACTTGAAATCAGAAATGCATTCTCGGTGGCTGGACTGGAAGTTCCAACATTGCCACATATCTAGTTTCTGCTGAAGCTGTTCCTACAGTACGATACTGACCTGCACAGACGGGTGGGAGATAAGCCCCGGGGCAGTCACAGAGGCAGGTGTCGGGGTCTTGATCGGTTCCCCCGTGGGCACAAGGTATACACTCTAGGGGAACACAGAGGGAGAGTATTGGTGAGTTAGGCAGTCGGCAGTATCTGTTACACACCATTGGCACAGTGGTACTTTTCTCACCTTCTGCTTCTCTGACCCAGGTTCTAATCCCACCTAAGTCATTGTGTGGATTGGGCTCTCAGTCTTTACAATCTGTCTGGGGTTTTCCTCCCACCATTAAACCTGAACATTTCAACACCATCTTCTCTCTAAAGGTTTCGTCAGGCTTGAGTGCTACAGAGCCTAGAGTGTTTGAGAGGATGTTTCATCACCAGAAACAAATGATGAATGACTTCTCTTTTACGTCATATTTCAGCAAAGTTCTACTTCCATACTGACAACTTTCGAGTATTGAGAATCACAACAAGACCTTGTACAGAATATATGCACGTCTATGTTATGTATAATTTACTATGATATAAGCAATGAGTGCTATTAGACAGGTGTCACTTTGCACATTAATAAAGAAGAAATCAATCTGGCTTTCATTGTAAAGTAATATTCTAGTATGAATAAAGCTGCAAAATAAACTGAAAATGCTGAATGTTAACGATGAGATTCAATAATAAATTCGGAAAAAAGTGCAGCTTATTTCAAGAAAAGCTTTTGCAACTCCTACATTTACATGGTAAAATGAAAAGATTTTTTTGCGATTCCTTTATAATTAAATGACCACTGCATGAACTGTATTTCAGATTTCCCAGAACCGATTACTTTTGCAGTCACCTGAGCAGGTTGGTCCAGTCCACGGAGGCGGGCAGTTACATCGGCAGGCCGCCTCCTCAAATTGCCCAGCATTATCACACTTGATGTCTGGCGGGCAAACTGATACACAAAAACAAGGAAGAATGCTCAGTTATGTATGCACAGTAACAAGATATTAAGACATCTGCAAGTATACTTTGCAGTTCGATACCATCATCTGTCAACAATGTTTATCATTACTGAAACAACTGAACTTCACCTTACTCAAATTCACAAAGGGCAGGAACCAGCCCTGAAACTTCCCAGGTGAAAGAGCGACAGTTTCACACCGTCAGTTTTCTGATTGTTGATAGGTTTTTCAGTATAGACCCTGATATCAACTTTGATATTCCAGACAGTACCTGTGAACTTTGTTGACAATTTCCATATGAGCACGGATATCAAATTGGTACATTTCAATGCTAGTAGCCTACGAAAAAACATATCGAGTATTGCTCAGTACCTTAACCTTCTACAAAAGGACTTTACAGCTATTGGAATATCAGAAATTTGGTTAAATGATGTACATGACCCTTTAGTACGAATCCCAAATTATACCACTGAAGGGAGCTGTAGGCAAAGTAAGCAAGGTGGAGGGGTTGTGCTTTATATATGAGAAGACCTGGTATATAAAACTCCCAATGACTTAATGAATACTAATTGTGATATCCAATTGTGATTCTCTCAAATCATTACCTTCTTTATCTGTGTTTGTTAGAAAACTAAAAACCCAGTTGCTCGGCTCATTCCTAAATCATATTTATTTGTGCTCTATTATTGCGGCATTGTTTCACAAGGGTTTGTTTTGTCTTGTTTGTCATTTGTCTGTCCCCTGTTAGATTGTACGGTTGTTTTTGTCTGTCTATAGGTTGGGGTACAAAGGCATTCCTGCATAACCTTAAACCTAAATGTTGTCATCTAATTTATCAAATGTATAATCCTATTTCATGTAATGTTACTCAATTTAATGACCAGGTATATTCAGTACTTAAGTAATGTAACATATTTGGTTACATTGTAAAGAATGGTAGCATTGAAATAAATGTTTCATCATCATCACACTGTACGTCACGCCAAGCATTGGAAGAAAAGTTGCACAAATTTCTACAACTGGTAAAAGTTTCAGTCATTACCATCGCAGAGAACGCCCATGTAGGAATTGAAGCAATCGCAGACGCAAGTGTCTTTATCCTGGTTCCCACCATTCACGCATTCCTTGCATTCTAAGAGACATAAGAACAAAAGGATGCAAGTAGGTACACGTGTAGTGATTTTATAATGTGCAAAAATGCTGTAATGTCTTTCTGGATTATTGCTTCTCATTTTGTTTAAGATAATTGCTTTTCATGAATTGTTCCGAGAATTTCTGTCGTAATTTCACAATGCTGCACAAATTTTTAGTGATTTAGTATATGACACAGTCGTATGCCCTTTTCACAGAGCATTGAAAAATTGAAAAGCTTGAGAATTTTCTCATACTTGAGAAATCTTACAAAATGCCATCGTGTGGAAGGACACCAATGTTTGAGAGTGACTAGAGTGTCCTGGCAATTTTTCTCAATCCCAGAGATATTTTTAAGGTCCGGACCTTTGACAAAAATCATCCGCTAGGGGAGGATTTCTCGTGGTACCCTTGACAAACAATCATGCGAAAGAATGTAATGTTAAATGTACGGTGTTCCACACAATAATCTATGCCTGAACATGTGTGAGGATTGTGGCATGCAATCGTGGCACTGATCAGCATTGCTGCGGCCCACAATCTCTGCACCGATCTCGCAACACACACATTGCGACAACTTTATTATTGAATTTGTTAACATTAATTGGACTGATACAACATCCGGTGCCTTGCACGGTGCTTGGTAAATTTGCACAGCATGAAGAGCCCTCAACATAAGTTGAGAAGAGATTTCAGTGTAAATTGCTGTATTGAAAATACAGAAAAAGAAAAACTCGAAGTGGTTGGAAAGAAAAGAGGCATGAGACAACAGGAAATAATATACAAGATTAGAAACTTTATCAGACGAAAACCTCAATATAATTTAAACAGGAAAGAAAAAATTGCCAAATCACGTTGAAAAACAACCACAAAGCGACATGTCGTATTTACATCCAATGAGGTATGAATAAATTTATGATTCAACTATCGGTTTTTGCAGACGGAAATGCAGCTAGTCTACCCACCTGAACACAAAAGGCCAGCATACACTTCTGGACACTGACATGCACAGGTGTCAGGATCTTGTGAATGACCGCCATTCTGACAAGGTTCACAAGCTACAGTAAAACAACAACAAACACACACTAACAGTGAATTCTCAATAAAATTTGCTTCCAGTTGAACATAAAGATGCACTCAAAACGTAAGAGAGAAACACACTTATGAGGTGGACTGTGGGCTTGGTGGTTAGGGTTTGTGTCTCTCCACCCAGGGTAAAAATCTGGTACCGGACTAGACCACCCCTTTAAGCCCTAGTCTGCCATGTTACTCTGACCAAGGAGAGTGGTGATTTATGACTGACACGCGCGCACAGAATCTGATTAGAGAGTGCATGTGTTTTAGTTACCCATGTATGCAGTGAATGGGTCCAGCTACAATGGTTTACACACTGGGGGGAGACCCTACGACTGAATCGCAACTATTTGAAGATTTGGTTTCATCAATCATTGCATGCTAAATGAAACCAAATATCACTCGACAAGTTAGCCTGATGGGCCACATTAACTCATGACAGATTTTAACTTCCAAATTTTCTGGGCGGTCCTTAGGTTTGAGTACCCTTAGAAATCATACCCTCCAAAAACACACATTCTTTACGTGACACTGATGAAAAATTCGTTAACCACTTCCCGCCGGGGTGCCCGGTTTCGGACAAAAGAGCTGGTCCATGTAACAACCGACAGTACTCAGAACAAAGGACCTGCTGCTGGATGCCATCATTTTTCGACTTCCATTTTTTGAAGGTAATCCGTCACTGTTTTGAAACAGTATACCACTGTTTTGGGAATAGCGGATTAGCACTGCGGACAAAGTGCTCCAGGGCCCAAATGATGAGCGACACAGCACCGCTAATCCAGCTGCGTATGAAAAGACGCAACTGACATTCACCAGAACAAAGGAAATTGCAGGGCTGAATACTCAGGCGTCAATGAAGGTTGCCTCTCAGATTAGAGTAGCCACCAGACAGTCGTTTGTGTGGGTGTAGACGTCCAGTAAATGAACACATGAATTTTTGAAGAATTTTGAAAACGGAAAATCTTGAAAAGGTCCCGTCATCTCATCCCGCTCAAGAAAAATCCACCCGGCAAGAAGTGGTTAATTAAAGAAGAAGCCAAAACTTCTAGTGATCTGCATAAATAAGTTTCCCTGATAAATGGAATATCTTTATGTTCATTTCAGCAACATGAAAACAGTACAAGTCGGGATACTATTTCTTTTGAAAAGTAAGCCAGAGTGAATATTGAATAACTTTCCAATGAAGATCTGGCATGAGGTTCTAACTACATGTAGGGGAAGGAAAAATAAAACTGCGAAGAGATGGACGACGAGGCGGAAGCGTTGACATTTTCAGCAGTATTTGTGTTGGATGAAAGGCTCGACTGTTGGATGAAAGGCTTGAATGTGTGTCATTTTGGCATGCACATGACGGGCTGCATTTCATGAGGAATAGCTATTTAAGCTTTGGAAAGTATCTTTCCACCACATGAAAACAGAATTTCCTTGGCATGACATAAAATCCTTCTCTTTTCAAGACGACAGCCGGTAAAGGCCGGTCACAGCCAAACCTGAGAAGGGAATCACACAGAAGTGAAAGTCACCTCGATGGGCATGGTTGAGATCCTTAGTTATGACAACTAATGAGTAAAAAATGTAGAAGGCACAACTGATGATACCACCAAGTATCAAAGATACAAGAAGTCACAACAAAAATATCATGGGCAATACTCCCCCAAGTTCAGTTCACAATTCAAACAAATGCAACTGAGACTATTTGTCAGTTGGGAACTTCTTATTGGTATTATTTCACGACATCAACTTTGTTTCACCTGAATTGCTAATAATGAAACTGTGTGTGAAATTCATCACGGTTGATTGTTTCCCGTAATTTCTACTCCAGACCAAACATGCTGTATTTTTGAAAAGGGGAGTATGGTATAAAAAAGAATCCTTACAATATCCCAAACTCATTGTCAAAGCCATATCTGTGACAGTGCTGAGAAAAATATTCGGGCAGGCATTCTGTGGACGATTTTACTGACATTAGCTAATAAATAACATTTGCTGACCAAACAAATAAATAATACTCAATAACAGCAAAGGGGAACATGACTAAATCGAGAAATGATACTCAGAAAAGGGGTGAAACTCTGCAACTGCACACACTCTATATTATTCTGTCTAAAATGGGCTGAACTTCAGAAAACGACGAAGTGAAAACCACTCTCTGTGACTAGATCTGACTACCTTCCTCACTCATTTCAATTTGCATGGAAACTAGGCTTCACACACATGAATTTGGTTCAATGAAAGGTCTATAACTAAAATACAAACTGAAAAGAGCTTTTCTTTGGTACAAGAAAAGTGACTACTGAGGCAGCACGGGGTTATTTTTACTCATGTCTACACGCAACCGATCCCCAGTGAATTAAGTGTGATTAACTTTTCATAAATCTGGGAAGATTTGACAGCCAATATCTGAAGACTGCAGCTGAGGTAGTCTACTCCTCCCAACAAAACGACATGATTGCCGGTACAATGAACTTGTTCACCCATCAAACAAAAGATTTTTGTATTGGTTATTAAAAACGCTAGATTTTGTTTGCGACTTAACTTCAAGCATTTTCTTGAATATTCTCTCTGCAGTTTTATCCGTCTTTTGATGAAAGTACAGCAAGAATGTCATTTCCCACTTTTGAATGGTTTTATTCCTTGGAGATTTGACACCACACTTGAAAATTGAGACAACCATCCATCCCTTAAAACACAAATTTACTTGTCTCAGAAAATAGGAGATGCATTTATAAGCAGTTAGTGTGGAAAACAAGTGACCGTGTGATATTTTGAGTTGGTTTTATCCTCATTCTTGATTCACAAAAAATGCAGTAACTGATGTACATAATTTCATGTAAGCCTAACGACTACTATGCAGTAATGAACCCAAACTGTCGTTTTTCAACTAAAATTCCCAAAACTTTGACACAGTCATCAGTACAAGGAGGCACGGGACAAAAAATAATCATAATAAACGAAAAGGCATGCAGTTGTAAAATGAGACAATCCTACCCGTGCAGGTTTTGCCCGTGTAAGGTGACGGGCATGAGCAATTGCAGAAAGATTCCAGAAACGTTCCTCCATTTTGGCAAGTTTCCTCATCGCCACACTCTGAAAAAAAAATGCCACAACCACCTCCAGTTTTCATAAACTGTGACACAAATTTCTAATTTCACATTTGGGAATGCTTTATCTTGATGGTAGTACATAGCGCTTGTTTTTCTCAATAAGTTGATTGAGCTTACTTCATAATAATCAAGGCTGAACCCGAGACATGATTTAATTCACATCAGTAATTCTTTTTTATCAAATAATACCAAATAATTTTTTCATGAACTTACAAATAATTTAACAGTCCAATTTTCCAAATATCATTTGCAATTTGACAGTAGGAAGACCATAATGTACAATGAAAAGGACGGAGTTTTCAGCCAACAATCATTTAAGCAATTAACCCTTTATTCTTACTATTCGAAGTGAACCAGAAAACAAAATATTTCATGTAACAGTGGGCAAATTTTGAACAGTTTTTAGCAAACAGAAATCACTAATAAGCAAGGCACTTTGGATATGTTCAGGTAATGGCCTGTTGAAATGTAAGAAACAAGACGGAGAGAAAAAAAATTAATTTGTCATCCAGGGATTTGTAAAGATAAGTGGAATATTCAATATAACAAAAACTAATTCCAATCAATCAATTTGTTCAGTGTGAGAATGTCATGCACTACCTGGTACAGTGATTGCAAAGCTACAGTTGGCTTCGTTGTCACTGTCGTCGGCAGCCCTGCACGTCACCACTGTGATGCCGATTGGAAACGCGTCTCCTGAGCTCACAAGTCTGCCCAAATCATCACTGCACGTGACGGTGAGCAGGCCGTCTACTGTGTCATTAGCTGTGGGCAGGGTAGGCCAGTCCACGGAGGTGGATGTCTCTCCTGGACCTGCAGCTTGGATGATGTCCTTTGGACAAGTCATCTCTGGAGCTTCACTGTCTGTGAGAGAAAGATTATTAACCAGAGTTTGGTTTTCCAAAACTTTCTGTATCGTTTTTATGTTGACTAGATCAACAAGATTATCTGCCAGACTGAGCTATCTGCTTTTATGTGAGCAGATCAGTTTTTCATCACTCAATAAGAAGAATTCTAGCTCGGCTGGAATGAGATGAAATAAAATCAATATGATTCCCAGAATTCTAAACAAAAGGTTTAACAAAGAATAAACCATACAGACCTACCATAATTAGCCTATTTGAGGCATGGAAGACACAGTAGGAGGGCGCTATTTAGTTTGGGTAAAATCTTTGTGTTTACTCCAAAGTTAAATACCCACTTCAAATAGCACCCTCCTAATGCACCCTCCATGCTTCACAAAGGCTAATGATGCCCTGCTGTTTACACATGGGCTTTCCTATGGTTGTGATCATGGGGTTTGATCCTTTAAGCAACCATAAGAAAGCACTGCTATAAACAAAGTGTGACATCATTATGTTTCAGGTCCATTAATCTAGCAATCAATCAAAGAATCAGTTTATGTCAGACACTCAAATTCATATTGATTACAAATCAAACAAATCTAATGTCATGCCGTCAACTCAAATATAAAATGTACAGTCTTACCGGTTACAGTGACCACAAAGCTGCATCTGTCCTGGTTACCGCTGCTATCGGCAGCTTCACACTTCACCGTCGTCGCACCAACTGGAAACTCATCTCCAGAACTGACAAGTCTGCCTGTATCATCCTTGCATGTGACAGGGAGTGGCCCATCTACTGTGTCATTGGCAGATGGAACTGTGGGCCAGTGGATGGTACCAACAGCTGAGCCCGAATCAACATTGCTGGACATGTTTCCTGGGCAAGTCATGACTGGGGCTTCGTTGTCTGTCCAAGATGTAAAGTTGAAAACCTCAAAACATAAAATGTGAACTTTCATCCGCGGGCTGCAACATTTTGTTTGGTCTGGTCACTACAGTCATCTCGATTTCAGATACCGTCTTTGTTATATGGTAAAATTCACACTAATTATAAATCCAACATTACTGAAACATAATTTCAGTGAGGAAACTTTTAGTAAAGGAACTAAAATAATGGATTATTTTTCTCTTAGATTTTTTTTGTACAGGAAGAAAAGTACAGCAGGGAGATCTGCATAATCTGTATATCTTGAATCTGTGATCTCTATGAGAATAGACATGGTCTCTTCAATGAAATGGTTTGCACAAGAACTATAATTCAATTACTCAGTGGAAGTTGTTCTAGATCAACAATGTCATCATCTTTGGGCTTTTAGATTCATGACCGATTGGGGTTTCTGGCCTGTGTTAAATCTGTTCATCTAGAGAGAAATAATCATTCTTTACAACCTTTGCTCTTATAACTGTTTTATGTTCAAATGCTCTAAGGGAAAATAGCTGATTCAGACAGGAAAAACTGGAGACTGGCAATAAGAAAAACCAAAGCTTCAATCTCACCCTTTATTTTAATGAAAAAAGTGCAGTTCCCTTCATTTTGTGAAGAATCAACAGCTAGGCAAGTGATTGTTGTGTCACCGGCAGGAAATCGTCCACCTGACTCGATTGTCTTGCCGCTCTTGTCCACACAGGTGACATTTGGAACCAGACCGTCTACATTATCCTCGGCCGATGGGGAAGGGGACCAGTCTACAGCTGCATCGGCCTTTCCTGGCTCCACGTTCTGTGTGCTGCTGTTTGGGCACGTAACCACTGGGTCCTCATTATCTGAAAGTGACAAAATAAATTCAATGGGCCTGTGCTTCTTCAATATGAATGGCTAGTAGATCATTAACCACTTATCGATGATATGGGCCCCAAGAGGAACCAAGAGAGGGCAGAATTTTCCTAGCAAAAGAGGATCCTTGGTTGGGAACTGCACTTTGCTGGTTCACAAATGACTATAAAATACATCCGTTACGCTTGCTTTGCTATCGTCCCGACCAACATGGCTCGTTTCAACTGATGAGGGGGTGCTTCTGCCCAAAGCAGACAACTCCCAAAGGAACTTGCCCTAGATGAGGTATACTTTGCGCCAAATGCTGACTTTTTAAAAGGACAAGATGCTAAAGTTAAAGTCCTTTACCAAGTAGGACTCTACGAAATGCTGCCCTCCATTGGTAGCCGTTTGTTCAGGATCTCTGCCACATTTCTTACCACATGGTAACTTTTTTGAAACACAGACAGACAGTGTTAAACGGATTGATATTTTACTACAAAGCCTGGCAGTGGCCTACGGCCACTTGAGGGCTCCACACAGGCTCAACTTCCATGGACCAGTCTAAGCCTGTGCTTCAGTATGGGGAGGAGGGTTGACATCATCCAGTCAGTCCATGTAGAATTCACCACACTGTTGTTGAATGCCCTCGTTGTTACAACCCAGGGAATCCCTGCGTGTTTACATGTCATCTGACATGAAGCCGTTACCATGCCGAGCAATTTATTTGTTTCAGAAAGTATGTGACTTATAGCTAGCTGGCACACTGCAACCGATGACCATGCCAAACTGTAAACAATGAGGATGGCTATGATGATAAACCTCACTATTTGAATATTTCCAAATAGGTCGTTTGGGAGACATTTTGTGGTAAATTTTTCAACAATAGGGAGACATCGGTCATTAGGGAGACATTTGAATGTCTCCCTCATGCTCCAACTACCAAAAGGAGGAAAATTTTTATGGTCCACATTTTGAGAGATGATAGATTAGGGTCATAAAGGAAAACATGCAAAGTTTGGTTAAGATCGGATTAGGGAATACTGAATTATGGGACGGTAAATGTCTCCCAAGTGACCCATTTGCGGTAATTATAATGTCTGTAAGCGTGATTGCCAAAAGCTGGTCAACCAATGGACATGGGAATATGGCTGTTACTGCAGAAGTTAATGCACAAGCCAAACATATCAAATGGTGCAGAGTGACTGAAGTGACGCGCTACACTCTACGGGCACGGATCGGCATGCTACCTTTCACTGTGATTGCAAAATCACATCTTCCCTTGTTACCACTGTCGTCAGTCGCTTCGCAAGTCACCACCGTGACACCGACGGGAAACTCATCACCCGAACTGACAGGATCGCCCGAATCATTCTCGCAGGTGACAGTGAGAAAACCGTCCACGGTGTCGCTGGCCAAGGGCAGGGTGGGCCAGACTACCACACCAGCAGATGATCCCGGGTCCAAATCCTGCGAGACGTTTCGAGGGCAGGTCATTACCGGGCCTTCGTTGTCTGCACAGGAAGAAATTCCAGGTTATTGATGCTATCAAAAGAGACAGCTGAATGATACTTTCATCCCAAGCTTAAATCACTGCTGAAAATGTTGTGCCCGTATAAACTTAAGCCACTGAGAAATGCTGAAACTGGGACAATTCCATGCTTCATTTACTCTAAGAGTATCAGTTATTAGAATAACCAAAGGTAACTCTGTCGAAAATAGTACAGCTGGTATTTGAATTTGCCCATTGTTGGGACAGTAAGCTTGGCATGACACACTGTCAGTGCATATGCATTAATTTACGAAGAGTGTTCACTGCAAACAGATGTTCATTCAGGGAACAAGTGGATAGCCCTACTGAAGGCTCCGAGCTTACTTGCAGCCAACCATCCACCGATATGTCTGGCTTCCTGTCATTTTGTTGAAGCTGATAAAAATGAAACAATCTGTGCTGGAACAACCGTACCTATCACAGTGATGGTGAAGCGACAGCTGGCCTCATTCCCACTGCTATCTGAGGCTTTGCACGTCACCACGGTAACACCGACAGCAAACGGGTCTCCTGAACTGACAAGTTTGCCCAAGCTGTCGAAGCACGAAACAGCAACTGGACCATCTACGGTATCATTAGCGAAGGGCACAGAGGGCCAATGTATGATACCGATGGCCAATCCTGGTGAGACATTCTCGGTGATGTTACTGATCAAGCATGTGAAAACTGGAGATTCATTATCTAGGAGGAAAGCAGACGAATACAGACATGCTTCGTACATGTCTTTCAAGAGAGTCAATCTTTGTGATTGACAACTGTAAATTCAATTATTCAAACCCACATCTTGCCATGTCTCCACAGTTTTTTCTTTATCAAATACGCTGTCGTAAAAAATGCTGCATCTTTGAAAACACTCTCTATAAGGCTAATGCCCATTAAAAATGGGGGTAATTTTCAAGAGAAAGAGTAATTTGGCAAAGCAATGTTCCTGATGGTCACGCACAATGCTCGATCAAAATCCACTTGACCATTCATAGATGCAAACATCAGGGGCAGATTCAGGGGGCATTGGGGGTGCACCCCCCCTTCCTTTTTTCACCAAAAAATAAATAAAAAAGAGAAGATACAGATGCAGGGGAGGGGAAGAAAGAATGGAGTGGACCCCTGCTCCATAAATGTGGCAACGGCGTAAAAACAACAGTTCTGCTTCCGGTCACCCAACCTCCCTAATTTTACAGCAGCAACACTCAATATTTTAGTTCAACGCCCCCCCCGAAAATCCTGGATCCACACCCCCTTACGAAAATCCTGGATCTGCCCCCTAAATATTTACCAGAAATAGAGAACTATACTTTTGAAACCCACTGTCAGATCATTCGTGGAGAAAAACCTAAGTTTGTGAAATACTAAACTGAAGACTGTACACCATAATTAAGAAACGTTTGACAAAAAAGTGCGCTGACAACTTAGTGTCAAGCTGTTGTGCTGTGATTGATAAGAGATTCAAATATTTTGTAAACATGACAACGGTTTGGGTTCAGACCTCTTCTGTGTACTTGCCAACGACTGTGATGACAAAACTGCAGTTTCCTTCATTCCGTGCTGAATCGACAGCAAGGCAGGTGATCTTCGTTTTCCCAACGGGAAACCTTCCGCCCGACTCAACCAGTTTGCCATCTTCGGCCTTGCAAGTTAAATTAGGTACCAGACCATCCACAACATCTTCGGCTGATGGAGACGGGGACCAGTCTACTGCTGCACTAGCTCGTCCTGGTTCTACATTCTGCCTGCTGTCCTTTGGGCATGTGACAACAGGCCCTTCAACATCTGAAAAATACAAAGTTCACTCAAGACACCTGTTACAGGAAGTTTGCAATTTTTGCTTTTTTTTTCCTCTGAAAGCATTCAAACAAAACATGTGATGAAACTTGGTGTGGATGCTGAAAACCAAGTTGCATTAAGCAGTCAAAAAACAAGCATTTTTTTACATGTTTCTATTTTTCACATGTTTCTTGTCGGTGAATTCCTATTTCCTATGAAATGTTACATGAATAAGAACTGCACAAGATGATGAGGAACTCCACTTAAACAAAGTGACCGAAACGCATCATTTTGTGAAAGACTGCCAAAATGCACCCCAGCTGTCAACGGGCAGCATGCATGACCCTAATGGCATAAGGACAACGGCGATGGTAGTAGCGACAGTGATTTGGTTATATGGCTAAGTTCATGGTTATGAATATATTTCATGACAGGCAAACTCCGTGTGAAAAAAATGGGCATCTGTTCAGCGATATAAGATACAGATGACAAGATGCTGCAAAACCAGTCATAAAAAATGAATGCCATGAAGCAATTTCACCAACGGGAGCTGTGTCTCTACCTTTCAAATTTATCGTAAAGCTGCAATTGGCCTCGTTACCGCTCCCATCGATAGCTTTGCATGTCACTATCGTAGCCCCTACTGAAAACGTGTCTCCAGATTTCACGACTATGCCCGAATCATCTGTGCACGTGACGGCCAGGGACCCATCTACCGTGTCATTGGCTGAGGGCTGGGTGGGCCAGTGGACGGTACCAACATCTGAACCCGCATCTAAATCTTGAAAAATGTTTTCTGGGCAGGCTATGAATGGGTCTTCATTGTCTGCAAAAAAAAAAAAAGCAGTTACTCACATGTTAATGCTTGAAAATAGTATTGTTCAAACATTACCGTGTATTATCTTTGACAGATCAAATAGATTTCTTCAATGAAATCAATCATATCAATTCAATATCATGACCGTCTAAAACAGCTACCGTTAGCATCATCTGCTGGGCTTCACTTCTATATCTTAACGTCATCAGGGCCACTCCATGAATTTGGGGTCCAATTTTTTTGTGCATCTCAGTCACATCTGACATATGATTTTGGAAGCTCAGAATACATTCTTTAATTTCCAAAAGTGATTACGAAATGCACTTGCCAAATAAACAATAACAGTTTGAAATCAAGTTTAATTAATGATGTTTCCATGCCAAAGTACATAGGATGGTTAAAACAGGGACACAAAAATGTCACACCTGTGGACCCTTATTTATAAAATGACCCGTCCGTGAGTGATGTATTCAATCAATGGAAATCAAACTTTCAAACATCTCATCAAAGTTAATCGATATATTCATATCGATCAAATCTGTGACTCTAATTCAAGCAAGAAAAGAAACAAGAAATTCTTGAATCAAACAAATCAAAGCAATCAAATTTAATAACCAACTGATATCATTCCACTCTTATCAGCAAATAAAAATGTTCAAACATTCAAATCAACCAAATCAGTTATCTTTACCAATCACAGTGATCAAAAAACTACAGGTGCCTTCGTTATGACTGGTATCTGAAGCCGTGCACGTCACCATTGTCACATCAACTGGAAATTCATCGCCTGAACTGACAAGTCCGCCAGACCCATCGCTACACGTGACAGCAAGCAGCCCATCCACAGTGTCATTGGCTTGGGGCATGATGGGCCAGTCTACAGTAGCAACCGCTTTCCCTGCATCTACATTGCGGACGATGTCATCTGGACAAGTCATTATCGGAGCCTCATTATCTGTGAAAGACGCAAGTCTTTTATTTATTCAGACACAAGCATTGGTATTTAGGCATTTTCACTGACAAAAGGAAGCAAACTGACAATTTATGAACTAGATACTTTGACTTAACTGAAGTAAAAATAATTACACAAACAAAATTTCCAAAAACATGAAAGAGTCAAGTCATAAGGCAAACGCAGTATTTGGCTGCATTGGGAATATGATACAACTTTTTATAATTGTAAAGATATTACCTTATAAAATGAGTTTTTATCACCCAAGCTTTTTTTTTTAAGTATTGGTAAATAGAACAACGCACTGACTCAGAGAGGGGAGAACATGTTTTCAATAATGAAAACAATACTCGGGTACAGGGCAGACCCGTCACGAAAGGGGAACCTGAATTGGTCACCTTCCACCCCCCGGGGGAGCAGCTACCTGTCCCCCACACCATCAGCAATAGGCATCAAAATTATCCATTGTTCTCATGGTGTACCCTTCTAGCCGATACTGTGGCCCCCTAACTACCTAAGCTGGTGATGGCTGGCTAGCGCCCGGGCTGACATGGCATGGGGGCGAGGAGATTGAGGAGGTCAGTGGTACAAGTGGGAAGAGGTGTGAGTCCTGGATAGGGAGTTTCGTTCTTAAAATCAAGCAACTGAGGACATTGAGGGAAGGGGACGGATTGGACAGACAGAGAACGGAGAAGACAGAGAACATTAGGAAAACTGCAGCCACAAGATTGGTGTCGACATGAAGTTTCTCGAAACATTTTTGTACAAATTTGTATAAAAGGAACATAGCACCTACCTAGGATAATAATAAGGAAGCTGCAGTTGCCTTTATTCCCGACGGAATCCATTGCCGAGCATGTGACCATGGTGTTACCAGCAGGGAATCGGTTGCCGGACTCAGCAGCCTTGCCGCCCTCATCTGTACACACGACAGTGGGTACCGGACCTTCCACTGCATCCTCGGCTGACGGCAACGGGGACCATTTCACTGCTGCGTCTGCCTTCCCGGTTTCCACATTCTGCGTGACACTGCTCGGGCACGTGACAATCGGTCCTTCGTTATCTGGGAAAACGTAAAATCGGCTCACGAACTACGTCTGTCAGTAACTACAGCTCACGTCTTGCATACGAAATTGGACATGCATAATTTCTACCGCTTAGCACACAGCACATCACAAGAAATGGGAGGTAGGGTCAGTGAAAGGTGCAAGCAGTGATAAATGAGATGATATTAAAAGGGGAAAGGAAAATAAGGAAATCATGATAAAAACTGATTATCTAAATTAAACAATGGCTTATGCAAGTTTCTGCTTTCGCCTATGACCTCATGCAGACAATGAATTTGGATCACAGAAGAACACACGTACCCACGACGGTGATGCTGAACCCACATCGTCCCTGGTTCCCACTCTTGTCAGAAGCCAAACAGAACACACTCGTTTCTCCCACCAGAAACTCATCGCCCGAATTCACAACATTTCCCAGGGCGTCCGTGCAGGTGACCTGAAGTTTGCCGTCGATGTTATCGGTGGCCTCTGGTAACGGAGACCAAATGACGGTAGCAACATCCGCACCCGAGTCCACGTTCCAGGAGCCGCTAGCGGGGCATGTCATAACTGGGGCTTTCTCATCTGTTAAGGAGAAAAGAATTACAATTTTTAACACAAGATTTTGTCCTTATCCATGTCCCACTTTATCATCAGTGTGGGACTTACACAAAAAAAACCTTCGTAGAATTACACTCAGAAAGTCTTTTTTTTCCGTTCATAGCTGTATCATTGTCACTGTTTAGTACAAAATACCACCTACCTATGCTGAAACATCAAGTGCACCGAGAAAAAGTGAAACACACTGTAATTTTTTAAGCTAGTTTTTTGCACCATTTAGCAAAATAAAACTCTAATAATAACTTTCCACGAGGCATAGATGTGACCAAGAACAAATATGTAGCACAAGTCATGTGGAGGGCCTCCATGCATGATCTGTGGGGATAATGCATTGGACAGAGAAACTTGGAACCCCCATTGTTCCATGCGTCATTGCCTTGTTTGCAGGCAAGTTTGTACCCTCTCTTCAGATCTCTTCAAACTCGGTGAGAACTTTTCAAAAATAATGCAGTCATCCGACGCCACTTCCCTGGTTGTGTAAGAAGTCCAGAGAGAGTTGACAATAACGGCGGCAGAATGATTTTCAAGGTGGGGAAGGGAGGGAGTTGTGAGATCATCAGGCATCAGCCATAAACAGTAACCCTGTAGGGACCATGGAATCATGGATCTACTTTTTGGATTCAGAATGATTAGGGTTAATAGGCTGATCCATTGAGCCACACCCCATTATTAGACCTGCAAAAAGGGGGGGCGGGGACTATACCTCCCCCTCAAAAAGTGGGGGTGCCACTGCCTCCCCCCTTCTGCCATCAGTGGTTGACAACTTCAAAGTAGTTTCTCAAGAAACAGGCAGTGTTTTCAATTTCAGATCCAAGTCTTTTTGGATAGTCATTTGTCTTTGTAGAGATAATATCAGGATGCAAGATTCTTCTCCTTACTAGAACATTCAGCAATGCAGAGCAATATAAAGCAATGTTAACCATGTTCTTTATGCCAACAGCGCAACATCTTCCACTCCAGGAAATGTAATTCTTGCATAAACACATGAAAACTGACATCCTAACTTTCAGGGGCACTTTTTTTTTATCTCTTGCAGATACTTTTGATGATTTACAGTGCAATTATCAGCTTGAATTATCTGAAGCTGCTAACGCACGGGCCAAATTGCAAAACCGTTTCGTGCAAGATACAGACAAAAATTATGAAATAATTACTTGTTCGGCCAGTTACAGATGTGACATGAAATGAGCATATTTATAAAGGATCGTGCTCTTAAAAGTCGAGATTGGCTCCAAATTCTCAAGGAGTCAAAAGCAAGCGTATACACTACCTGTGACTGTTACATTGAAGATGCAGTCAGACACTGAATTCCCAGTGCCATCACTGGCTGTGCACGTCACCAAGGAAGTCCCAGAGAACCAGCTTCCAGATGTCCGGTCACACACAATATTCGGCTCGGCCCCACTGTTGTCCACAGCTCGGGGGTCGTCCCACGTGACCACGGCCCTGTCTTCACCACTTCCAGCCTTCATAAAAATATCCGGTGGACAGCTGACAAAGACGGGAGGGAGGTAATCTGCACGGAAAACGAGCCTATTTCAACACCTCAATCAATCATTGTTGGTAATTCATACAAATTTTGGCAAATCTGCACTCCTACAGTAACACAACATGCAGAGCCTCCCAGGATAGTGTTGATAAAGATGCATGTGAACTTCCTCAAGCAGATGGTACGTGAAAAATCACTGCTTAAGGAACCTAAAATGGCTTACAGGGAAAAATATTATACAAATTATAATAAAAAGTCTGAATTTTCTCAAGTGACAGATGAATCTTGCTGACCTTATAATGCAGTGGCACTGAATCATCACAGTTGGAAAGTGATTTTTGTCAGGTGCAACTCTTAAGGCTAATGAAATTAGCTTTATTGTTTCTCATCAGTGCCTGCAGGTGATTTTGGCCCTACATCAAAAAATCTCACTATTCATTTTTGGTTGAAGAAAACAAAAACAGCGAGATTTGATGGAAAATCCAACTTCCAACATTGAAAGTTATGTTACAGCAATCCCAGTCATCAGAACACAAACAATCTGAAGCCTGAATGCTCGTGGGCACCCTGTCAGCCTAGCAGGGCACCCAGTGGTCAATAAAAGTCAAAACAAGCCCAAATGGACACGGAAAAATTCAAGCCATGTCTGAACTGTGCGTGTCCATCCAGCTGCAATCCCCGGTCTTGCACCAAGACTTTACCTCAGCAAAATCAACAACCACACGTGACAGAGCGACATAGGTCTTATGCATGTGTAAAGGGTATTATTTTTCCATGACCAAATATACTGAATACTGAATAATGATAAAAAAATTTTAAAAACCCTTGACGAGAAACAGTAAATCATATTTCATGGGCCAAATCCCGTGATGACGAACATGGTTCAGAACTGAATGTTTTGAATGGATTTTCGGATAAACTTAGCTGTGCAGACTTTAATC